AAAATATTTACACCAAAACTTTGTTATTACGAAAGGCTAATATTTGTACAGGCAGTATTCGCAACGTTTTCCATGAATACAAATGTGACTATTTCATATTATTCAAGGGGTAGTTTTTCAACATTTTTACCATTCTTAGTAACTTTACGATTTAAACGTTTCGTGTTAATTACTACCATTGTTAATTACAGTTATTACCTGTGCCATAATAAGCAAGCACTGGTTTAATTCATTCTCTTCGTAGGTGCAATTTGTCGGATAAATGGTCAATTTTCATTACGAAAGGTGGAAGCATACGATACATGTACAATTTTGATTTCAAGGGTGATATTTTCAGCAAATAATTTAATAAACCACTACTAACATGGTGTGCATTTACATTAGTTCGTGAAAAAATTGAATTTCCAATATGACCTTTTTATTGAAAATGTTTTGAACAGGTGTGTGTATGTATTTGTAAAGCATTTTCTTGAGAATGTGGGCAATGATGCAGGTTTTCTGAAATCTTACATCAATATATATATATATATNATTAATTGCAAAGCTTACTCATTTGAATGAACTTTGTAAATAAAATAAAAGTATAATCCAATTAAAAAAAAATTAAAAAAAAAAAAAACTGACACCTATCAGTATCAGCTACATTTGAATCAACCCAGTCATTCTATGATGGATATCATTTGTACATTTTCATTTGTATCTAGTTTGTAAGAACCTTAAAAAACTATTGATTTTATGTTTCGTTACATCCTTACAAAACACAAAATTAAATGAGTCCTGAAATGTAATTTAAAAGCCGTCATTTTATATGAATTTATTATAAAGAAGCAAGAACATATTTTCAAACTGGTTTGAAAGCCGAGAATGTCATCGACCCTCAATTAGGTTAGTTGTATAATATATGTAAGGGTTGAGTTGAGAGTGAATGCATTTATAAGCGTAACTTGTGTTGTGAGAGTGTCGATGGCGGGATATCGAGAACCCAATCGACCCTCAATTAGGTTGATGGTATAGTACAGGTAAATGGTGATGGAGGACTATCAAGTACTCCATCATCCTAATTGAATGGATGGTATTTAAATAGGAGTGGATGTATGATTGTAATTAACATGAGTACAAGTTGGTTTGGAACAATTGTTGGGTGCTGAATTGACTTAGCTGTTGTCAGCACCCGGAGCTCAACCTCGGAGGATGGACGATTATAATGCGCCTGAAACATCTTAACTTTTTACACTCAAAGACAAATAATCGAACGGTTGTATAAACTTGTTTATTTTTCATGATAACTAATATAAAGATTAACAGTTGACTCAAAACTTAAAAAGAACATGTTCCATACCTTCATAGAGGGTTTCTAATTCTTTTACACTCTTTAGAATAAAAATAAAGAAAATCAGTTTAATTTCATTCTTTACCTGGCAGATGCTTTGGTCAACGGCTTCCAACCATTGTCTAACCTTTTATTCATTTATCTCTCTAAGGTATCAATCTGGTCAATTATGACCTCATTACTTTTTGATTATATTTTTACAATTTTATATATGTTTATAACATTGAGCTTTATATTTTTGTTTATCTTTGTACTGGGGGACAATTGGAAAAGAACAGTTTGTTTTTGTGTTTTTTCTATTCTATTTGGTTTTAAGGAAGATTGATAATGCATACAAGGTGAGTGAAAGGCGTCTTTTATAAATAAAGAACATCTGCTGGCACTAAAAGATTTTTTAATTTACCTAAACAATAATATATAATGAGATTCCATAAAATTTAAAAGAAATATATTAGATTTCATAACTAATCATTTAATAATAAAGTAAATACTTCCCGGGCACGAGGGTAAACTGCGTCCACGTACATAACACATACATACACCTACACTGACACAGGCACATCAACATTATATGCAACTAAATTCACTATTTTTCGTGGTCCGCTTGACCAATTAATAACATTCAATTAATTAATTTTATCTCAACTTAAAACCTTAATTAATTGAATTATATACAACTTTCAATTGATTATCCTTTGTATGTAAGGTTTTGGTTGAGATAAAAAAGTCAGTGTGACGAGCGGGATGTGAACTCATGACCTTCGGCTAAATAATCGGCTGCTCTACCACTTGAGCTATCGTGACTTCGGTCCTCTCGGACACCAGCTCTCCATCTCAACCAACAACCGTTCGAATTTTCCCTCTTTTTGCCATTTTCAAATGTCGTGTAATCAGGATTCGATTCTCAGCGACTTATGAAGTGGCCACAGTTACTCGGCCACAGTTACTCGGCCACTTTGCGCTTTTCTTGGTGGCGGTGAATGGTATCGCTAATAGCATCCCTCGCAGATAAGGACAACGCCCTTTGTCGACGACCTCTTCTTCTACCATATAGGTACCATCTGGCGGAGGTCGGCGGTTGGATGCAGTCGGTGATAAACGTTGTGGATTCGAGAGCCGAGGAAACCGGGTTTACTTTCTCCACGTCAAAACGAGTTAGTTATTAGGTGTGAGTGCAGTTACTCGGCACCTTGTTTGGTGAGAAGTTCAGATGCAGGCACACATCGACGCTGTCGAGGTCCAAAGCAGGAAAACCCCCTCACTATTAAAATTCGTTGGTCACTTTAGGTGGGGAGAGTACAGGGACACCCTGTTAAAATGTTTTGACTCGCTACTTTGTTCGAAAATATTTTATGGGTGTCTGTCTGTCTTACTCCTTGGCCCGGAAAACGCGCCTGAGAACGTTCGATAAGCTCTATTATCAGGATCTCAGAGCGATCTCGGGAGCGTTCAGGACCAGCCCCTTGACTCTCTGTGCTGCGAGCTGGGGGTCCTGCCTCCCGAACTTCGCAGAAAGCAGCTTACCTTCAGTTAAGGCCAAACCGGGGCACCCTCTCGCTAAGACGATCCTCGAGTGCCCGTACAGAGTTGTCTACGGCAGACATCGCTCGCGGACCCGACTCCTCGGGATTCGCTTCGTTGAAGTAATAGGGAGGGCCGGACTGGCGCTGGGGACTCTTCCGCAATAATCTGGGAACTTGCCTAAATCGTGTAGTCCGCTATACCTCTTCAAGGCTAATAATTCTAATGTATATTGGCTCACAAGTAACTGTAATAAGACGTTTATATAAAAAAACCGTTCAATTGTTAAAAAATAGAATATACTAAATTCATAATAGAATACATAAGAATAGTAATGACGTAGGTCTTTTACAACACATAAATAGTATCAAACAAGTTTAAACATCTAAAGAATATTTTAAAAGAAAAAAATGAGACCAGATTAAATTGGTTATAAAAAGTATACATAAATATATAGAATAATAATGTAAATTTGCAAAAAGATAAAGAAAAAATCGTGCACAATTTAGACAGATACGAAAAGAAAATGAAAAATGTAATCAAAAAGTAAAGAGGTAATAATAATATAATTGATAAGATTGATACCTTAGAGGGTAAAATTAATAAAAGGGTACACATTGTTGGGGTACCAGTGGTATGTTCAGTTAATTTTACTAATATAATATATTTTAATGTAGAGTTCAATATCTTCTTTAAGGTCTTTACTAGGTGAAAGAAGGACAAAAGAGTTGGAATCACCAAGCTTTCGGCAACATTATGTTGCCATCATCAGGGCCTATTTATTCAGAAAATATACATAATTAATATACATTTTAACAATCAAAAAAACAAAAACATCAGTGCATACTTTCCCAAGAAAGAAGAGAAAAAAAGTATTTTCTCATCGGAAAAAACAAATGCAATGGTTTAGGTGATGAAGCACATGGCCAGCATTCGGTTATATATGGTGAACAAGCCATCTATGTAAAGTAAATTAATGAGTAATTAGGACATTAATTCTTGTTAAGATTAAGAATTAATGTCCTAATTACTCATTAATTTACCTTACATAGATGGCTTGTTCACCATATATAACCGAATGCTGGTTATGTGCTTCATAACCTAAACCATTGCATTTGTTTTTTCCGATGAGAAAATACTTTTTTTTCTCTTCTTTCTTGGGAAAGTATGCACTGATGTTTTTGATTTTTTGATTGTTAAAATGTATATTAATTATGTATATTTTCTTAATAAATAGGCCCTGATGATGGCAACATAATGTTGCCGAAAGCTTGGTGATTCCAACACTTTTGTCCTTTTTTCACCTAGTAATGACCTTAAAGAAGATATTGAACTGTACATTGATTATCTGCAGGTCGATCTACAAACATCATATATTATATTTTATACTAGAAAAGAATGAGAACAAAAATAAAATTATAGGATATACAAATCATACAAATTTAACACTGAAGAGGACTCATGCCATGATGTCGAAAACGTTCGGTTAATAAAGAAAATTCCATGCTGCAATATATTGTTCAACAATCTTTATAACAATACAATTTGGCAGGTTTAAGTAAAAAAGTCAATGCACTAGCTTTAATCACCAAGAGGGGAATAGTTTACGATAGATTGATTACTCACCAGGAAATAGCAAATTCCATTAAATATTGCTCCCAACTAAATGAATATGAGATATAAATATTCCGCAAGAGGATATTCGGCGCAAAACATAAATCCACATATATAAAGAAACAGAGAGAGAGCGAGAGAGAGAGAGAGAAAGAGAGAGAGAGAGAGAGTGAGAGAGAGAGAGAGTGAGTGAGTGAGAGAGAGAGAGAGAGAGAGAGAGACAGAGAGAGAGAGAGAACAGCACAAAAAAGGAAAACAAAATTGACAGAAAGGATTACAACTTCAAATGCCCGAACTTTAAAAAACCGTTCGTTGACCCCACCCATGAGTAAAGTCTGTGAACTTAAACAAGGCCGCTTCAACATCATTGCACTATCTTCACTGTTTATCGATATAAAAATTCCGATCACCGACAGACAAGAAACAAGAGTAAAAAAAATTACGTAAATAATTGCTATCAGTTGAATGTAAATAAACCAAACAAATAGGAAATTTTTCACAAGATTAACCAAAATTCAGTTTTAAAGGTACTCACCAAAGGAAAAAAGGTAACCAGCATATCATAAAAACGCCCATGATTATGCCTAACGTGCGTGCCGCTTTATGCTCCGTCCTCCAGCTGGTTGCTGTCCGAACAGTCGTTCCTGCAATTCAGAAATGAACCATTTTAGAAAACCGAGGCTTTTAAAGTACCTCTTAAATCATGCCGGGCGTTTTAAAGGTCGGCTTTTTAATTAATCAAATTGCCACACTCGAGTGCTTTTCAATGTAATTAAACGCCACTTCTGTAATCCGTGTCAGTATTAATGGGATGAAAGAAGAAGAGAGGAAAAAGAGGGAAGCTTTGTCGCATAGATGTATCTCTGGAACCAGGATTAAAGGATAAGCAAAGGCCGACGTTCGAAGCCAATTAAAATACAGCAATTACCCTTACGATAAATATAATAAAATCGGTGGAGAAAATTTGTATATGTGCTTTATCAAATTTATCAAATTAGATTTCTTTATAGAAAAAATTATCATTCGTTAATATTAAATAAAATTGACCTGTTCATTAGCACCAGAAGAAAATACCAGCAAAAGGCAAGAACACCAAAATCCACTGAAAATTCCACATTCACTTTTGTTAAAATTTAAACAATTTTTATTGCATAATTAACTTTCTAGAATTATTGGTCAAGTTAATTTAACCTTTTATATATTTTTCTAATAAAAGTTATTAAGTCTCTAGATTTATAATCGCCAGTGTAATATATAAAATGAATCTGTTCAAAATGTTTATTTATTGAGTAATGTATTTTATTGAAAGCTGTTGGCAGTAAAATATCTCTGGATACGACTAACAGTAGCTGGTTTTTTGTTGGACTTAACAATGTTCTTAGTGATGAACTTGGAACTGTGGACAAGACTCTTTTACACCTCCGTTATTTTTTGTGTGGTGCCTTTGGTGGATTAAGTCTAGTTTTTATTGTTCCGGTCATTGTGATTGTAGGTTTATTTGTCTTTTTAACTGGTATTGTGTATTGTATGATTTAAATGTTATATGTGGTTTGTTGTTTGTGTGCTCATGAATAAGTCAGTAAAGTAATTCCTGCGTCACAGGAGGGCTTAACGTCCAACTATCCGTTGGGTGTCGCGAAAGACGGGATCAAACGTTACAATCCATTTATCATTCTATTTTTAATTAAAAACCCATGGGCTACGACAAGATTCGAACCTAAGATTGCTAGCGTGGCAAATCCGAGTTGGACGTTAACCGCTTGGCCGCCGCTGTCCGCTATGTGCTCATCAATTTGTTAGTTTTTATCTTTTAAAGTTTTTGTGAAATGTTTTATGTTTTAGTCCAAGTTTCGAATATGTTTATTTTTCGTCCTATTTGGAAGCCATGTTTCTTAATGTTACTTAATTACTACGTAATTTAATGGGTTACTTAATTCAATGTTGGTTTTAGTAGTTTGTGTTCGTGGTCTTCAGTGCCGTAAGGTTAGTTGCCACGAGTTCACATTCGTAATCGACACGTATCTTCGTTTTTTTAACTGTGTACTCTTTTATTTGATTTCGATCATTACTGCCAAGATAGTTCAATGATAATCGAAATCCTCCCGCTGTATGATGGACTATGACGGGTTATTTCTGGACGTACACCTTCCATTATGGTTCAACGCGGGCAAATCGATTACGCTTGAATAGTTTATGCCCAGTTGAGCAGTTCGTATCTATTTTCTCGACCAATATTAGAGGAATAATTGAAAATCTCACTGTTGAAAATAAGAGCTTTTCCTAGAGGGATTAATTTACCAGTGTATCAGGGGTTGGAACAAATTATTTTCCAATGTCGGTAAAAATGGACCAAATTAGTTCAAACTTACAATTAGAGAATATAAACGGGTAGAAAATCTAGTTTTTATTTAATTAAAATAAAATTAAATAATTTTTCGGACAAAATTTATACGATTATACCAACGAAAAGTTGTTTAAAAAATTGATGATTATTGACTTTATAATGCACGGATTCTCATGGTGTTATATAAATATCCGTCATTTTGCAAAATCGATGGTATTCTTTCGAAACATATTTCAAAACAACGCGCTTTTGAAGAAACATACCGAAAGTATTTTGATATTTTAAAACTATAGGAAATATTTAGTTTTACAATAAAAAAAGTAAAATCCGTTATCAGCTTTGTATTTTTTATTCTTAAATAAATATTAATCACAAAAATAAATAATTAAGCTAATTAGTCTGGATGAGAATTTAGCCTTCATTAAATAAATATTCATTAATATAATTAAATGATCTGATTTAAATTTGACTTACAATGTGCACGTGGGATCATCGATTTAATTTTTGTTGGCGATTCTAGGTCAAAAAATAATAGTCATATGCTCAAGCGTTCTCGCCCACGAGTCCTAGGAGGCGAGAAAAAATATTTTAAGTAATTTACATAAAGTTTTTATATATGGTGTGCTATTTCCTTCCTAACCCTACTGTTGGTAGCTGCCACATACAATTTGGACCGAACGACCCAGGAAAGGCAGTAAATTTTAGTTTAGCAAGAAATAAGTTGATCTTTTCTGCACTCCAAAACACCTTTGATTTTCCACCACAAAAATCGTCATAACTTTTAAATACAACATCGATCTATAGAAAAGATTTCAAGGATTTTAGAACTCTTATAACATTCTCGTAAACATGACCATCCTAAATAAATTAGAATTGGAGATATTAAATAAAACGTTTACGACACGTTTATTTTTGTATATAACGCCTATATTTTACTTACATAAACTGGCTTTATGCTACGTTATTATTTCGGGAATATCAGTTAGACGTAAATAAACTTAATCCTTAATCCAAAACAAAGATAAAGGATTTTTCAATGTTTAATTTTTACGGAATTTAAAATGTTTATTCAGTCAATTTGAATTGTGAGGCAATAAGCTGTTTAGTTTCATCTTTGTTTTCTTATTTTCAATTTTTAAACTTAAAAATGCCACTTAGTGCTTAGGGTGTTGCGCGTGATGTGGCGCTTATTGATGATGGACGTTCCATCAGGTATGCAGATATTGACATCAGAGTTCCCTACAAAACTCTGCGACACGCCGTTAGACGTTTTCGAGAAACTGGGTCCTACCGTAGAAGGTCGGGTTCTGGACGGCCTAGGGTAACATAACCACAGTATGACCGTTTTTTGATTTGAGAATTGTGGGAAACCGGCACCTTACTGGTGTTCAAGCGATTCATCAGCTCCATGAAGTTCGAGGTGTCCATATTTCTGAACGCACTGCTAGAAGAAGATTAAATCAGTACGGACTGATGGCTTTTCGCCCTGTAAGCGGACTAGAATCGACCAGAACACACGAGTTGTACGGCTCTCATTTGCTCGAGAATACAGCCATTGGTTTTTGGATGATTCGTCTGCTGTACTTTTTACACATGAGTGTCGATTTACTCTACGATCTCCAGATGGGCGAGAAAGAGTGAGGAGAAAGCAAAATGAACGGTACAAAGCCTGTAATTTTTCCCAGAGCCAACCTTTTCAACGTGGCTCAGTGATGGTGTCTGTCTTTGACGGCCACTCGTTATGGGGATAAAATTTTGGAACATCATGCGTTACCTATCTTCCATTAAATCAGCTACAATCCTAATCTAATGCACGATAATGTCCGTCCACACGTCGCTCCCATAGTACAAACGTACTTTCAACAGCATAACATCAGGGGCTTAGTCTGGCCAGCCCGTTCTCCAGACTTGAACCCCATTAAACCTTTATAAGATAACCTCAAAAGACGAATAAGAGCACGTCCATCACTTCTTGATACACTCCACGGTCTTGAAAGAACTCTTCGTGAAGAATGGGCTAACCTCAAGCAAAGAGACATTTCCAGACTGGTAGAAAGTATGCCGAGGGATCTTCGAGATGTAATTAAGGCAAGAGGTGTAAACACGCAACATTGAAATATTAATTAAAAATCTAAACCAAAATTAAAACAAATTTTATCTGTCCGTCTTTTTTAAATTTAAATTTTTTTTATTTTTCATTTTCCTTAGCAATTTACGTTTTGTAAAACTGTTTTAGACAATGATTCAGTTATTAAACTTTAAAAAACGTGAAACTTTGATTAATACATAAAAATATATACAAATCAATTTATATTACAAGTGGGTGGAATTTTTTGCCTGCCAGTTTGATGTTAAATTGGCAACAATTAAAAATGTATAATATATCTTTTTGTAGAGCCCTAGTACGTACAATAAAGTACAGAAAGGAAGGAGAAGATTTAAAATTAAAAATATCTTTCGTTTACCACATCCATGATGACAAGTACATTACCTGCATTAGTTGGTCGATAAATCTACAAAACTATATATATATNAGAAAATTTTTTACTGAAACCTACATCACACCAGACCGCATCTCACGATTTCTAAATAAATATCGATTAACGGTCACTAATCACCACATATATATTTTTTCTGTTGTAATGCCATAATATCTAAAAGTTGTTGACACGACTGAAAGTAGCATTATTTGGCTTTCAAACAGTTTTAATACTGTTGTAATGTGAACATTGATTTACATCCAGATTAAGTGGAACATCGGACGTCGGAAGATAGCCTTGGCGGACAGCCTGCCTAAAAATGTCCATTAGTCTATATTTTAAATGTACGTTTTTTAGCGACCGGTAGTTCAATAATTTGTTGAAGCGGTGACGAGCGGTCAGGAATGAAGTCGAGTTACAAGATGAAGTTAGAAAAACACTTTTTCATCTTTCATCAGTGCTGACATTTCGACCTTTATTCTTGCCATCTTCACGGTTTGGGTGAATTAAAAAACATATTACGATTGGTAAACATACAATACGGATGTAAATACTATAAATTTTGAACCAAGTATTACGTAAAACGTTAATTTGTTTTTAATTTTTTGTTATAAGACCTGATATAAATTTTAAAGAATTTGCATTTTAAAACTATATGAATATTTTTCATTTGTTGATATTTTAAACATTACTTATTGAAAGTGTCAATTATTTATTTTTAAGAAGTTGATTAATTATTATTACCCGGGGTACCAATTCGATTTTGTGGGTTCGAGTCCAAATCGTGACACTTATTTTTCATCTCAACACACTTTGCATA